TGCAGGCTGATAATTTGGTAATTTTCCAGGGGTATGTTTATTCTGGGGGGGGGGGATATTTATTAGGTTTTGAAGATTTCTCGGGGGTACTTTTTTTCCGGGGGTATGTTTATTTGGGACCTGTGTTTGCAAGGGAAACATACATGTACACCATGAGAACACATTTTAGTAGCATAAACATTGCTTTCACATGTCAATTAAAAATTTTCCGGGGGGTACTTTTATTCCAGGGGGTACTTTTATTACATTTTGAAGATTTGTCCGGGGGGTACTTTTATTCCAGGGGGTACTTTTATTCGAGAGGTGAGAGTAGGCATTTGGTTGGACGTTACGCCTGCTCTATTACTTTTACATTAGCCAGTACCTCTTAGGTCTCGTATCTATATTCTGATTGAGAATAACGTATGCCCTTCAATTCAATATTATCCCGATTATTTGTAACATGACGCATGGCCGCGCTGACCTTACCTAATGTGTTTTGTCATAATTGGCGCCAAGTGTATTGGAAAAGAAAAACATAAATTGTAGCCCCAGGAGACATGGACATATTCATGTTGTAAGGTCAATATCATCTCCAGGAACTCCGAAGGCAACTATAGGGAACAAGGATGTGTCTACATGTATTGTAATGACCAATTATGGGCTTCAGGTGATGTGGTGTTTCTTCAACTGTAATATAGACGCACGAAGGTATCTCAACAACAAAAAGTCCAGGTTAAGAAAGGGAATGTTCTTCATTTGTAATTTGTCCACTGAAATTGACTGTTTAATGCAGCAGAAAACAAATGCATTCGATAGACGTCATATCATCAAACCATAACCCCTCCGCGTGCCTCTGTACTTTAATTACTGAGTCTTGTTTCTCTATTAAGTTTCACTCAGTCTTGTTTGGCCACATACGTGGGTATCGGCATTAAAACGGCAGAGGTGTTTAGATTGCATTAGACAACGAAGACGTGATTTATGTATATTTTATGTATGTCCAGGCTGTCCTTGGCCATGAAGATGTTTTGCAAAGCAAGTTACACTTCTAAATCCCTTGCTTTGGTTTATTTCTGCACATGCTTTGTCACTGCCAAGGGGCTCAGGTGGTTGGGAAATGGGCAACATCCATCCAGTATCGAGCATGCAAATACAAAGCTGTGACGTTGTCGTTACAGCTGTATGAAACCATTCATCCTGGCGAGGACCAATTTTCGAAAGCCTAAAGTAAAAGTAGGCAGTCCTAAAATACTTTTATGCAGAAACGACATCGATTTCCATCGCCTGCTCCCAGTGCTGTATATCGTCGCTCTGTTGCATATCAACGTGTCGTAGGTTTTTTGCCTTTATGTGACAACATATACTGGATGTCACTATGATGGAAGTACGGTGATGCAACAGGGGTTTTACGTTGTGTGTAACATTCGCTCCGATCAATTTCCTCTCCACATAGTTCACCGGCATGCGATGTGAAGTATTCCGAGAAAGATTCCGCTCAACGTGGACATCGTAAAAACACAAGCTTTTACATCCAATTTTGTGAGATCATAGGTTCACAGTACCATGAATACGGTGCATGCGTGCATCTGAGTGTGTAGCGGACAGGGTGACTCAAATTCACGGATATTTTTCAACATATTGCTTTGATCCAGTAAGTTGACACCGCTATAAGCAGCACTACCCACTGCCCTTGACTGTTCTTCCAATGCCATTCATTAAGCCGTACTTTAAAACTGCTCAATAATTGATCAGGCCTTCTTTGCTTGATGAGGGGATAATACACATGCCGACGGTCGCTATAATGACCACTAAGGGCAGTGATATCTTACCCGCGCCCATGTTCCCTTTTAATCTTCTTCATAGCAATAAACTCGATACTTCAGCGAAATTGGAAACAAAATCCCCCCTTACCGCGATGCCCACTTTGCAGTCTGGGACTGATAATCAGTGGTTATTGCCCTCCATTATAGAAACACCACCAGGGTTATAATTCGCCAAGGCATGCCCTCAGCCCTGCCAGACGTTAAATCCTGGTAGCCTACAGTGCAGCTGACCACTGAGCGGCCGTTTCGATGCTACGGACTTTTAGCCACGACAATCCCCGGTCTGGTCATTTTTCATTACTATCGATCGAGTATACAAGCGCTAATCACCAAAGCAACTCATGCATATGGTACGTACAAGCTGTACGGTATTTCCCTTGCGAACTGTAGGACTATTTCGTGAGGCTACGTCAGTGGCCCGTGTATCGGTGGAAGAGTAAATGGTTCTTGAACAACTGGGTAGTAGTTTATTATCTCCCGGGCATCCCTGGAGCATACAGAACGACCGGCGATGTCGGATGAGGGTACCAAGCACGTCCTGGGGCTCTTGTCAGCGCCCGTATAATTGGTGTAACAACATGTCGATCGATTCAAAGTTTCTGTTGAGTATTTCGCAAAACGTCTTTTCTTCAAAAGCATTTAATGTCACCCATGGAAAAAAAATTAAGGATAGGACTACAGAACTTTACTGTTCGTACTTTATCATACTATAACATCATAGTCTACAATTGACAACACGCAACCAGAAGGGGCATCTTCGTCTACTGCAGCAACGTTGAGACTTTTAACGAACTGCTTGGAATCAATTCACGTTGACTTTACGATCCACCACCAACGGCAGACAAGTGCAAATACCACGCCTGTTGCTGGTCTCAACGGCAAGGCTCATACAGCAATGTAATGAGACAATCTATCCCTGCCGAAATGAAACCGGGAAGGCAATTGCATCTGAAAGAACAAATGAGCCAAAGGGATTTCTCTCATCTCCCAACGTGGGAACTTGATCTTTAGTAACTTATTAAGCACCTCCATATTTATTAGGTGTTACAATAATCTCGGTTTTTCATTCGGTATTCATTGTGAATATTCCTGGATCGCTCAGGTCTTCAACTCAGCTTTTCACCGTTAGCAGTTGGAAATAACTTCACAGTGTCGGCGGTCACTCCTACATAAAGAGAGAGACTTCCTTTATCAAAAGAACAATCTTATAACGTTTCCTATGTCCGTGTTCAAGAAATAAGAGCTCAAGTTTCATGAAGACGTGGTCAGGAATTACTAAACAGTTTACGCCGAGGGACGTGCGCTAAAGATCGTCCGGCTGGTTTAGGACTGTAATCCTCCGGCAACGCAGTGGGACCGAAAACTGGGCAAATTTCCAGGGGATTGGCTTTCATGATTATGTGTTGTAGACTCCAAGTATATGTGTCAAAACCTGTCCTGATGACACTAACTTGAAATATGTCTGATAATCAATATGATTCCAGCGGGGATCCCTCATTTCACCAAATGTATTTAACTGGTATAAACACATTTCAACTACCATCAATATACAATAGTGTCTTCTGTCTGCAGCCTCAGTGCCCGGGAGTAGATACTGTTGAAAGGTACCGGGTGTACGTAGCTAATTCAATTGCATCCACTATTTCGGTTCAGCACTTCCAAGAAAATGTCAGATGAAGTTGTAGGCTAGCCCGAACTACAACATTCAAAGTTTCCGACAGAGGGCATGCGTGCCGCATGATGAAGTCTCCTCAACTTACTTTTAACTAAGTTAGTTTTAATGGGATATAGCGTGATTTCGCCATGTAAGCCAATACAGCACCAAGCGGTAGAAATCGTTACCTGCGCATATTTCTACCTCTTTTGATAAATATTTCATTTCATCTGGTATCACTGCATTAGAAGGTAGCTCTTTTCTAATATCGGTCTGACTAATAAATAGCGGACAGGTGGACAGTTTGGTGGTGAAATCTTTTCTCACTCAGGCCCGTGTGCGGAGATGGAGGGGCTGGACCTGGCAGGGCCGCCGGTGGCGCTTCCATCACGCCAGCCAATCGATACGTGCTGTGCTGCCAAGCGTTAGTTAATATTCGCGGTACCATGTTCCCCTTCGCCGGCCCAACCGACGCAGGGATCGGTCTGTTCAACGCGTGCTCATGCAGCTCAGGCGGGTTGCGGCAAAGTCTGCTGCCGAGGATGGTCGTGCTGAGCCTCGGAGTAGCTGTCCTTCTGTGCTGTTCTACAGCCATTTCAGACCACATGGTGGACGTGCCGCTAGGTGAGTGGCTCCGTTATTTCTGCCCGCAGCCTGAGACCATACGCGCTGTGCGTGCTAGTTCCACGAATGGGTTGGCATATCGTACCCCTACAGCAGACCTGAGAGCTCAATCCCAAACACTCAATGGGGCAAGCAGAAAAGCTGACCCATGTTTTCGATCAGGATCCTCACTGCAAACGAGATCTTCCCTCTTGTCGATACTATTTTCCTACAGGTACGTTAATCTATTAGCTGATTGTGCCTGCGGACAAAATGGTATTCTGTTCGCTGAGAGAATGCCGTATCCTTGGCTTGTGAGCAATCGTGAACATGATCTGCTACTTTGCTCGTTCATTTATTCCACGTTGCCTACACCCTTTCCGCGCCTTGTTCTCCTCTGTCTGAAGGCGTTCCCAGTCTCTATTTCGGCGAACAGCATGCTATAACCGAGAGGATAAATAACAAAGTGAGAACGGTATAAATCGTGTACATATGTATGAAATGACAGCCAAAGGAGCAGAACTATATAGAAAAAAATCAATTCTTTACTGCAACAAAAGTTGCAGAACGTTGTGCCATGACGGTATATCTAGGTTATTGAATACCATCTCATGATTGAGACCCCAGCTGGCTCTGCAGTTTGGACAATTTCCATTTAGAAATCCCCGTGCGCTGGCCAATTTTCGGGCTTAGGCTACACACCCCCAGGTAATTAAGCGGTGAAAATAAGACCTATGGTTTACGAGGGATTGTCTTGTGAAACATACTTAATGTGGCGTGTGACAAAGCATAACAAACATAGCAATTGGAAAAACACACTAGTCGCTCAATCGGTACATGGTTCATATTGGAAGAACACAAGAGAGCCACTGGCCTGGGAAGGGGGCAAGGTACTAGGCGTTTAAGGAAACTATCAATGATACATAATTACATGTTTCTTTTTTACTAAATGGGTATGAACGATAAGTTGAGCATGAATATATAAGGAACCAACTATCACTGCTGTTTGTGTTATGTTTTTTCTTCAGATTAATAGTCTTACCTATCGCTCCACTCAGTATGTCAAAAAACCAAGCCCTATTCCTGATTTCATTCTAGCAGTATGACGAGCGTTAGATCACAGTCGTAATAGAGCTACTTATCTCAAGCCTGTGCCTGAGACGAATCTTGTGACCACGGCATAAGCCCACAGTACGCCGATAAACAGCCATGACAATGTTTTACAGCTACCGAGCAGCACACCCATCTCTGTCACTTGCCCGATGCGATAGCTCTCCTTGAATGAAAGGCCACAGACAGAGCTTCGGGCTATTGCAATTCTTCACACCCGAGTCTACAGAATTAGATACCTTGATTCCAGGGCATATATTTGCTAATGATACCTTATCCATTCGAGAAAATGACGTTGCTCTTCCACTGGACGACCTCCAGCTCAATCCTCACCTCTACATGACCTCTGGGTCTCCCAGATGGTACAGATTCTATTTTCATGGCTTCTTATTGCGTTCTTGGCAGATAGACCACATATCGGGCCTCTGCCAGGTGGTATCATCGTCGATTTTTGCGATACATTGGTTTATGGTATTTGTTTCCATCTGCAGGCGCTATTTTCGAAGACGAAAAGACCCTTCAGGAGGAAGAGGCTTTTCGTTACGCCGTGGATCAGATCAACGCCAGACCGGACCCATTCTCCCGAAAGCTCGGCTAGTTCCCCGCCTGGTCACTTGGACAAGGGAGATCCGCTATTGGCAATCAGGAAAGGTATGTGTGCTGTAATAGGTAGTTCCCGTACAAGGATCGGATACTTTATCACATTTATCAGCAGATCGAAATATAAATGGCGCGAACCTACTCCCCGACGCCTTCACTTTCATATATCAAATAGGAAAGGACATGGGGGCAATCATGGGCAGGGTATTAGCTGGCGGGTGTAGAGATGAACTTGATATTCGCCTTGGGTGTCATTCTAGAATAGTGCTTCAGGTTGAGTATAGGGTATTTGAAGAGGCAGCTAAAGAAAATGACCGAGAAGGATTTGTGGCCATTAACTTCTCGGGTAACCTCCGTGCTGGTCGCTGACGACTCGTGTGATTTTTGATGAGTTGGGGCCGATCGATATCCGGAGGTCCGTGCGCTGAACCCCGCCTCTCACCTCTGGAGGTGTGGAGTTAATCACAAGGATCACGGGCCGAGTAAGGGGATCCCGGCCAGTCTATCCAGGATGGGATCTCCCGTTATCTGTTTCAACTAATATTTCAGCACCATGGAGAGGTACGCCCAGTCGGTTTGCCGCAAATTGGCGCCCGGGTGTGAACAGCACACACAGGCGCCGGGCTATAATTAGCACAGCAGGTGGGGAACCTCAGAGTGCATGTGACAAGTAAATGGAGGATAATTGTTCCCGTAAAGGTTGACTGAGCATTAAAGTAACAAATATTATTAATGATACTTCTCATGTCATTTTCTGTAATATTCGCGTAGCTGTGAGTGATAGTAATATGGTAGCAAATAGAAGTCATGAAATGAAGAAATAGGAATGTTTGTTCCATGTTTAAAGGAAACTATTTATCAGGTTCTGATACAGAATGAACATACATGTTTAAGAAATACTGTAACATGGTAACAAAATTACAATTATATTATTTGTAAAAATAGGGGGAAAAAATGGAAAATCCCAAACGCCAAATATGCTGATGACTTGAAAACAACCCTACACTTTTTACACAAACGCCCTTTCATGGTCCCTCCTACAGAAAATTTGAGTGTACTTAAAATGTAAATTGAATCCTCTTCTCCACACAAGAGTCTGCTCGTAAAAGACAGAAATGCAAACCACCTTTTGAACGTCTAGATCGTCAATAATGGCCTTAACCCCGCAGGCCATGTCCAGGGTTATTTTAGATGGAAGTTATCGACTGATCAAAGTGACATCTCTTATCAAATCATATCAGGGGTTGTGACGTCCTCCGTGAATAACAGCGTTTGGCTGGAAGGGAGGGTTTACGTCTGCAGAAATAGACGTGGTAAATCGAGCGAAGCTTTGGATCAAAACGGGGGACACATGTGCATGGGTAGGGCTGATAACGCTTTGCTATCTTGATAAGCGGTGTCAAATTCAATTAGGATGACGACCAATCTAAACACCTGTGATACATTGCGATAAAACGTGCGTGAGCGAAAATTGTCCGATGTCGGAATTTGGCACAGTTATATCCCGCCTGTGCCGCATCTTATCATTCTTTGTCACTTTTAAAAGGCAATTAGCCCCTTTGGAGACTGCTTGTCTTTATTTCATACTTAACAATCGTTGTTTCATCGGTATATTTGTAAAACCTGGATGAAAGGACCGAGGGTCGATGTGATGCCGGCTGTGCCTGCCTCATCTGCATGCCTGGCGGCGCCGCAGGGGTATTTATATTCTCGCTGCCAATTCGTATTTATTCTGCTCTGACAGGTGATATTAGTATCTTGATAACGGAGCAAAACTGGAAATATACCGTTGTCCTTTCTAGAATTACAATTTACATGGCCGGTGGTGAGCTTAGTGGCGCCGTAATAACTTTATAACGTGACGTGGCCAACTCCAATGACGTTTCGAGTGTGATTTACTAGTAAAACTACTTCGGGACTTTGCTTGTAGATAAACACCTATCATAAAGACCATCTTAACTATATAAGTAAACTTTCTCATAAAAATAATGCAATACAAATTCTACGATTCAATAACAGTAGGTTTACTGTGTCGTGTTTTATCGTGACTGTAACTGCAGGAGAAAGTGGGTAGACGTGACCATATGTGAGTATCATTTCATCCCTTTCTCACAAATCCTACCACAAAAAAAAACTCTTACCTATTGCTGCAAAACATAACGACACAGCAGGGCTTTTTGTATTGTTCGCGCAAATGAGCAATGAATTACGTATTTCAAATACCAATATAGGAATGTACTTAAAAGAACCCATTATTATTACTATTATTATTATTAATTCTTATTATGACAGACGGAGAAATAAAATTGTTGAATTTACACCAAGACCAAATTTTGTAAATCAATGACAGCCTGTGGTATATTGTATCCAGTAAAATTTACAGGGAAACTTGGATATTCACCAGTTTCCCATCCCCAGAATGCAATGCGAAAATAGGGGGGTAACCCTCATTTGCATAGGACTGGAAGGCATCGGAATGATCCTGTTGACGTTTGCTTTTCACTGTGTTTTGAGGTGTTGGGGCATTTTATGCTCAACATTAATTAGATTACAATGGGTTGAATCTTAAAACAAATAGAGAATTAATTTTTTTGAATATGTGGTTTGTAACGTTATAGTGGTAACGCTATTCTGATGCTGTAACGTTACAAAGCACATGTTCGATGTTGAAAAGAACACTAAAACTTCATTCTCTATTTATTGTCAGATTCGGCCCATAGTAATTTAATTAATGTTGAGCATAAAATGCCCCAACACCTCAAAACACACTGAAAAGCAAGCTGTTTAACGTCAACAGGATCATTCCGATGCCTTCCAGTCCTGTGTAATGAGGGTTATCCCCCCTTTTTCGCATTGCATTCTGGGGATGGGAAACTGGTGAATGGGGACATTCTTTGCATTGACGTTTTCTCATCATAATTTATTACATGATCTATGTGCATGAAGTTAACCTGTTTTGCAACTTTCATGCGTAAAGCTGTCGCTGGTCACCTCATGGCGCATACGTTTGCAGAAGCTCGGCCTCCTTGGTAAATGACGTCTCTAAAATTAAAATCGCTGCTGCCTTCTCGTACGCGAATTGCTTTAAAAACAAACTCATGGAACATCACCCCCAGCCAGGAGACCGTCCCCGGTACGGTGCCGTGACCTGTTTCAGCCACATGAGTTTAATCCGCATGACATGTGCTCCATATGGGAGCATCATAAACTCCAGGTTGTCTCCTTTTATGGACCACGGTCCACGGGAGCTGCGGCTTCGTACAGCACACGGTTTTACTGCCGGGGTTTAGAAACGTGCTTTTAGTTGCGCACTAAATCCATCCCTCATATAAAAATTACTACCTGTGAAGGTAGTACCAGAGAAATGCACTAGACATGTTCAGTTTGGTTTATCCCATGCAAAGAAGCTCACCTTCGGGTAGACGTTTAATGTATGGCAGTGATATGTGGTAGATTCTATGTCAGTTGTTTTAACTTGTTTGTCCTGCTACATTCCTTAGGG